CACACGCACGCTCGGTCACACGCACGCTCGGTCACACGCACGCTCGGTCACACGCACGCTCAGTCACACGCACGCTCAGTCACACGCACGCACACACACACACACGCTCAGTCACGCACGCTCAGTCACGCACACGCACGCTCAGTCACGCACACGCACGCTCAGTCACGCAAAATAGGCCTAAAGTGTTAGTGTGGCTTTAACTATAATAATAATAATAACTTGTGTTGGTTTAACTCTCATGTCATGTGGACAACTCACTGCCAGCCAATCAGAGAGCAGCAGGATAAACAGCTGTGTTTGGTATGAACACCTGCTCACCAAACACAGACCGACTTCATGACTTCTTCTTCTGCTCCTCTGCACATTTTCTTCTTCATGTGATTAGAGACGTAACGTATTGTTCTTTAGGCTGATTGTTGAGCAGCAGTTGGTGTGAATATAAGATGATTCATTAATCATAAACTCAGTTAAACATCTTAACCCTCAATAAACTGACTAAACATTTAGATTTAAACTTCACTAAACGTCTTCTGAGCGTCGTCATGACGTCATGTTTACAAGAAGACGTTGTGTTACATGAAAATCAGAATTTTATGACTTTTCACCAAACGGTTAAGTGTTTTATTTTGTGTTTACTGATTATTATTTTTATTGTGCCACATCAGCGGATTCTTTTGAAGTACGATCCCACAAAATGTTTCACAAAAGTCTCGTTGGAGAATGAAGGGATTCTGGAAGTAGATGAGATATGTATTTATCTATTTACACAGTGTATACATTTATACAGATATACATACAGTATATAAATGAAAGGGCCCAGGCACTATGTGAGGATCTACGGTATTTAAAACAGACTTTACAAAGTGCTTTGTCACACAAATATAATAATAATCATGTTTCAACACTAAAGGCTTTGAAACATTCCTGTGGATTTAAAGGAACACGGCGAGTAAATAAACACGGAGACTCGGAATATAAAACGTGTTTTTGTGTTTCGTGTTTCAACAGAAACTTCGTGATGCCGGAGTCGAGCTGCCGGAGGAAAGAAAGAAAAGAGCCGGACCTCAGGAGGAGAACAAGACTCTGAAGGAGGAGGTGAAGACCCTGAAGGAGGAGCTGGACAACTCCAAGAAAGGTGAGGAGGAGGAGGAAGCCGTGCTGCTAACGTTACTAGCTCTCCTCATGTTGCTTTAAACACTGATTGGTTGTTTACAATGAAACATGGCCAGAGACTAGAAACGCATGTTCTACTGAATATTGGAGAACCATCGTCGGTTAAATCAATACAAGTACCTCAAAGTAGTACTTATGAGCAGTACTCTGGTAAATGTACTGTGTTCATGTTCTGCAGCTCTGCAGAAGTCGGACAGCGACGTTCGTGCGATGAAGAAACAAGCTGAGAATCTGACGGTGGAGTACGACAGACTGCTGGAGGAACACAGCAAGCTGCTGGTAACACACACACACACACACACACACACACACTATACGTGTGTGGACATTAGAGAGAATGCAGCTTTAACACATGAAGTTTTGGAGAACTTTAAAGAAGCGGAGGTTGTTGTCTGGTAGCAACAGTGAGGCCCATTTACAGTTAATAATAATATAGGATGTCCTCGAACATGAGTTGCTGTCAGACTTAATTTCTAGATATATCGTCTTATATTTGGTTTAATCGGGTATTTTTAGAGTTCTGTTCAACTGTTGGATGAGCAGCTGGTCCACCTTAAATCTGCCTGACAGGACACACACACACAGTTGCATAACGCATCCAGAAATACACACACGTGCTCGTACAGTCATGTACGTGATATGAGGACCAGGTTTTATGTTGGATCAGGTACCAGGTTCAAAACAGAACTGGATTCTCAGAGCTCTGACTCTTCAATTAGAAAACAAAGAAATTCATTTTTTTAATCCAGCACTTAAAGGGCCAGTGTTTGGGATCAGCGCCATCTAGTGGTGAGACTGCAGACTGACTCCAAAGCTTCATGTGTTAAAGCTGCATTCTCTCTAGTGTCCACCAGGGGGCGACTCCTCTGGTTGTATAGAAGTCTATGAGAAAATGACTCTACTTCTCTCTTGATTTATTACCTCAGTAAACATTGTAAACATGAGTTTATGGTCTCAATCTCTAGTTTCAAGTCTTCTTCAATACAGCATGATGTTCATTTAGTACATTATGGTCCATTTAGAGTCACACAGACCATAAAGCAGGGGATGCTTTAGGGCGGGGCTACACGGTGATTGACAGGTCTCTACCAGAGACGTATACTGCGTCTCTACGTCACTCCTCAGTCCAGATATGGTCACTTCCTGTTCACTGGTTTAGAAAAAACAAGATGGCGACAGTGAAATCACTAAACTCAAGGCTTCAAAACATCCACAAACCAACGACTACTTCTGTGAGGATGACGAGAGTTAAAAGCGACCAATCACAGAGCCCCCTGCAGCCTCCTCATGCGTGTTTTTACCGCCCTGTTCTCTGTCTGCAGGCGACTAGCGACAAGAAATCCGACTGAGATGAACGAAGACGGATTCCCAGCTTCTCTCTTCTTCTTCATCTTCATCATCGTCACCAGCGATGTGACGTCGCGTCTCTTTTTTCTGGATCAGCTGACGTTGTGGATTTGGTTGTTCTACGTGGTTAAATGATAAAATGTCTTCTGACTGTCGGAGCTTCAAGAGAAGATCGGCGGTTGTTTGTGAAACTTTTTTTTTTTTTTCTGTGAAACATGAAATCTGATCATTTTATTCCAAAGATCTGAGGTCCAATGTTTATAAGACTCAAACTAGAGTTTAAATATTCCACATCAAGGGTTCTGTTTCCTGAACTGACGACGGTTTGATGAATGTTTACTTTGTACGAGTTCAGCTGTTCATCAGGTAACTTAACGTCTAAATAAAAGGTTATGAACTCGGCAGACTTTCAGATTCTTTAGTTCTTCTTCATCCCAACAAACACAGTTCATCTTTTCGTGCTTAAGGTTTCATCACTTTGTTGTTTTAAGAGTCGGTTGTTTGTTTGAAGTCTTTAAAGAGAAACTTGACTTCCTGTTCATTTCATCATCATGACGTCATAACGTCTAACTGAGCTGAAGTCTGTTCATCACGATGGACGTGAGTTTAAAAAGAGCCGGAGGGAAGTTTATATTCACAGACAAGTCTGGATGCTGATGATAATGATACTAATGGTATGATGTCGTTACTTATTGTTTCTTTACCTTCAGTGATCCTTAAACTTGTAGTTTCAAACAGGTTTCACTGACGTCAGTCTGAAAGATCTGAGTGTGAATTTAGTTTTTCTAAACTCATGTTGCATCTCTTCCGGATGGAAGAGGCTCCTCCCTTCTTGTGATTGTTTAATTAAATCAGCCGTTTCTGTCTGTTTGAACACATGAACCTTAAATCGGCTTCATGACAAACATTCAGATCCTCTGATTCACAGATCAATCTCTCCACTGGGGCAACAACCGCCTTTATTTTGAAAATCCTTCAGGCTGACCCCATGTGTCGCCTGACGACTCTCTCTCCTGTAAACGTGTTCAGGGAGCAGATCGTTCCAGTCAAACCATCGATCGGATGTTTCCTCGTGTCACCGCTCATGAAAGGTTGAGTCCATAAGGTTCTCACTCCGCCCGTTTCTTTTCTTATGTTTACGTTTATTTTCTCCGTTTGCTGAACTTTGTTCAAAGAAAAGTTCTGGAAACGGAAACAAACACAAACGATTCATTTAAATCACTTTATTTCATGTTCTTGATTGTTTCTGACACCGAACATTCATTTATTCTGTTTTTTTGTTTCTCAGATGTTCAGACAAATGTTTTATGATGAAATATAAACTTTTAGGTAAAATGTTAAACAGACCAAACTCATGATATTAATGTATTTAAACACGCGACGGAAACTTCTTCTCTGCTTTTCTTCTTCTGTGGTTTTTATTTTCTCGTGTTTTGAAGACAGTTAACTTGTGTTAAACTCTATAGAGGGCGCTGCTCAGGTGCATCATGGGATCATGTGTTCAGGTGCATCATGTCTGAGGTGAACTGTATCTGGACTATGAAGTGATGAAATAAACCTCTACAGGTATCTTCTTTCTGTCTGTTACATCTACCGAAAAAACACTAGAAGAAGAAGAATGTGTCCACATGTACAGAAGTCAAAGAGTGCCGTCCTCCAGTGATCGTTTATATATAATATATTTATATATATATTACAGTGGCGGGCGGTGCATGTTATACCTGGGCCTTCACTGCTGTCCTGCAGCTGAAACACAGCTACGGTTATTTTTCATGTAAAAATGAAGCCAACACCTATAAATACACTAACTGCAGAGAAGATGCCGAGAGTGCGTCTCCTCTCTGACTGCTGCGTGAGGCTGCTGTGAGAGTAGCCGCCTGTGAGTGCTTTGGGGCGGCGGAGGGGCAGCACCCGCTGCTCGTTCACGACAGTAACTGTAGGACATACGTCCTTTAACGCCACAAAAGTCTCCAACAACACCAGAACAAGTCTCTAGATTTGTCACTAGTAGCTTTTGACAAAAAAAGTCCATGAGGGTTCGGAAAAAGTCACCAGATTTAGCGAGAGAGTCGCCAAGTTGGCAACAATGGCACCGGCTAAATGTGTCCCCAGAGCAACACTGGACGTAACAATAGTTCCTATCACATATAAAACCAAACAAAAATCTATCTTCATAAAAACAAGTTCTACAAATAATAATACAAATAATACATAAACAAGCATATTAAAGCTGCTGCACATGTAAAAACAAAAGCATTTAACTTACCAGAGCTGCTGTTCACTATTTAAAGACAAAGTCCATCCTCCTTTCTTTGTTAAAGAGTTTAATCTGACGGTTGTTCAGTACATCCGTGTGTTTTAGTTCCAGTAAAAAGTCCTTCTCCATTCATGGCCGCCAGTGAAGACAGTCGAGCCTCCCCAGTTGTATTTCTTGAATGCGTTTGAGGCTGAAAATGTCCGCGCAGCAGATATTGGGATTGTCACCGCCCAACATGTCACGCTAGCCCACTGACCAATCACGTACTTGTAGGCCAGCTAGCAGCTCTGACACCCATTTAACCACAGGCCTGTTGTGACTCATATCTCCTTTAAGAAGTATTGATCAGTCTGTTGACTATTATGGGATGGATGTTCATCTTCACTGTTTACGGATTCGTTCTCCGTTTTTCAATTAAAGGTTTTTATCAAAAATAATTGATCATATAGTTACAAACCTGCACATCAGCGTGATGAACATGAGTTCATTTAAACATTTCTGTTGTCATGGTAACTTCATCTGATGAAGGTTGTGATGCGACCGAAAGCTCCAGAACAGAGTTTATGTTGGATAAGGATGTTAGTACTTCTACTGTAACAGTATTTACATAGTTTGGTATTA